CAGAGGGGGCGCTGTCACAGTCGTGAACGTTACACTTCTTTGTGTTCTTTGGTCGAGGTTCATGATCACAATCCACATGCTCATTTTCATCCTCAAGCTCGGCCTTAGTGTTGACACATTTGACCAATCGCTGCTGAACGCCTCCTCCGCAGGACACCGAGCACTGCCAACACACAATAGACAAGCCTGTTAAACACCCAGTACGGTTTCTACAATCCACCCATTCTGGGCCAACCGGCCTTTAATAATCTTCCATCAGATGGCTCTGATCAACAACCAAATGCAAAGTTTTGACAACATATGACTGTCTTCAAAGGGGTCATATCCTATCATTTTCATTCAGTTTTTTTTCCATTTTCAGTAGACGTGTTTACATGTGACTAATTTTCATCAATCAGAATGAATCCAATCCAAAGTTTCTGAAAGTTCTGTTTACATGAACCCTAAATGTTGCAGTCCGATTCACATATAATATATATATTGCTATAATGTCACCAGAGATACCATGAGTATAATTGTCATTTTTGCCTTATGACACATCTAAAAAAAAAGCTGACAATTATGTCAGAAGAGCTTTTTTAGCAATCTACTGACAAGTTCGTAAGACATGAGATTCGAATAAACATATGCACGTTTGTATGGCATAAAACATATGTGAGCATAATCATGACGGCAGTGTGCATGTGTGAAAGATCGGACAGTCAAGAAAACAGTCGGATGAAAGCGTTTACATGCTTTTTTTAAATTCAGGTCTACGCCACACCTTTCAATCCAATTTAAATATCATTCAGATTGAGCTGAATTCGGATCGATTGAGATGTTTACGTGAAGGCTTTTCAGTCCGATTGAGCCACCAATCCAATTATAAATGGATTATTTTAGTGCATGAAAACAGTGTTACATGACCAGTCTCTCTGACCCGTAGAATTAAAAAGGCGATGCACAAAGTTTGAAAGACTTCAATATTTTATCATAAGAACACTCCCGAGTCCCAGACAGCAACATAGTGTTGTTGTCATTCAACCCCTACCACACACTCCTAACAGGCAGCTTTCACGACCAATTGTAAAGGCCTTTCGGCACATCCCTACCTTTGTTTATGCCTATTACTCTAACTTGCAGATACCCACACTTGAGTTCATGTGGGTGCATTTGACTTCACTGATTGTCCAATTCTGTTACTTCCTACATTTAAGCTTGACATTCTGCACACACTGTGAATAGTCCATTACATTTCTTTATCTTTGAAAATCTGAAAAGAAAAACCGAATGAGAGAAAATTACACATGAATCAACCTGGCAATATCCCAAATAGTGGAAGAAAATTACATTTTCAGAAATAGCCACAACAGAAATTAATCTTTATGTCTTTTCAAAGAAATGTTTGCTTGTAAATCTTTTTTTTTTATTTTTTTATTCCTTCTAATACATAATAAATATACTGGCCAAAGTTCTGGGTGGTTGGGGATCTACAAGTGATTGTGGGGTAGTATTTTAAGGGTAGTATTCTTGTTCTCCAATCTTCACTTTTACATTCAAATCAGTCATGAGATGTAACAAGGTTTGTTCTCACTTTCTTCTTCTTTGCTGTCTTCTAGTTTTATGGTGTATTGTTCGCTCACTGTTCTGCGCTTATGTAACCAAACAGATGTTTTTGGTTTTAATGTTTTTCAATAAAAACATCAGAGATACTGAACAGAACCCAGCAAATGGTGTCCCTCTAATTCTGATTATGTGGGCTATTTGGTTCACACCTTTAGATGCATCAAATGTTATCTAGTGTAGAGACACACTGTTAAACCTGACGACTTGTAAAAATGAAATGCTTCCTCAAGAGATGTATGACACTCACCTGACCCCAGGATCCAGTAATCCACTGGTTGCATGGATGGATGTTGCAAGTCTGGATGTAGCTGGGCTGCCCGTCGTCATCACATTTCCCAGTTTCAGGGCAAGTGACCAGCCTCTGTTGCTCCCCAACTCCACACAGCTCTGAACACTGTAGACATAGATGGAGATGAAGAGAGTAGAGTGAAGATAAGGAAACAGAACCAAAGAGCTAAGGAGGGGAGACCAGCTACAGAACGGAAACCTCTTTACCTGCCCCCAAGAGGAGGTGTACCAATCTAAACAGCTGTGGATGTTACAGGGAATTCGGACAGGAGGTCTTGGGGAGGTGGCCTGGCAATGAAACGGCCTCAGCAACCTTTGATCTCGTGCGTCGTAACACTGAATCTCTCGAACCTTCACTCCTACACCACAGTTTTTCGAGCACTGCCAAAATAGAAATCAGGGGTAGAAACTTCCATTGTTTTATCAGTCACTGGAAATTCATTGATTTTATTAGGTTTGGCTGCATGCATGTGGACTTACTTTAGTCCACTCTCCAATTTTCCATGCAGAGCAGGGTCGAAGGTAGCAGCGGCGCGCTGGCACTGGCCTAGTGGCTAAATCACAGTCTGATTCTTCACCAGTGCTGCAGGACACTGATCTCCAGATGGCACCAAGCCCACAACTTGTGGAGCACTACCATACAAAATCATTTGTAGTATTGAAGTATCGGTTGACACTGAAACAGGCATGCAACCCTGCTTAAAGTAATTTATCCAAGACCCATTCCTGGATCAACATTTTTATTAACTACCTAATCAAATTTTAGAGTTACTTTAAACATTAGAGGTTATGGGCTTCAACAACTCAACAACATTCTTATTAATATATCATCCCTTTGATTTTCAGGTTATGAAACCTGGCGTACACATGTTTCCATCCAAAGTTATGAATTTAACTTGCACACAAAATTGGGCGATCACATAAAACATTAGCAAAAATAGCACAGTTTCCATCCAGTGACTTGAAGAGAACAAAATGATAACTTCCTGATAAACTGCTGCCAATTATTACTAAGAAAATACAATAAATTACTTGTGCCTCAGAACATGCAGACGAAGCGCAATAAATGCGGTCATGTTATCTTGCTTCCGGAGGCAAATGCCTGTTGTTTGAGAATCCAGTTGTGTGAGAAAGTTCTGGGAGGGAATTATACTGAACACTCTGACACCAGACTTCGGCTCAGGCATTTCAAAATGACCAAAGTAACATTTCAGATGCTGTGTAACGAGATCGGTCTGCTGGTTTGTCCAGTTATACCGTCTCATTGTGCAAAGACCATGACCTTTTTTTAATGCGCATCAAGGAATTTATTTCCTTGATGCGTAAATGTATTTCCACTATAGTTTATGCGCATGTCTTCTTATCGGAAGAAAAAGATTTTTTATACAAATTTTTATTTTATTTATGCACATCTTGGCATTTCCATCCAGCGTTTTTTTAATGCAATATCCCAAAATTCACATAAAAAATGGGTGGATGGAAACATGGCTACTGTCTGACTTTAAGGATGGATAGCTGTACCACTTGATCTTTTATATCCATTTTTGGTGCTAAAATAACATGAAAAATCTCATTACCTGAAAGACAAAGTTATGTTTGTTTTGAAACCGTAAACTGTGGTGTCAGCATAATTCAAGGACTTTTGATCATGGTGGCTGACTGCTGTTTCTCAGCCCATGCTGGTTCCATATCTAGAGAATGTGAGGAATGCATAATTAGCTACTCACAGCACTCCAGTTAGCTTTTTTCCAGTGTGCAGGGGAGGCCGATGGGGAAAGGGAAGACATGACCAGTCCAGTGGGCATCATAGGGCTAGAAGAATGCACTGAATGCTCAATGCTAATGTCCTGAGATGGCTGCTCAGTAGGAGTAGAGAGAGTCGGGTTCAGCCCAGTAGGTCTAAGCGTTCGGGAAATAATAATCTCATTGTTACCAATCTCTGTCCAGCGAGGTAAGGGGATCGGAGTTCCCCAAGGCTCTATTCTAGGCCCGTTTGTCTTAGTTGTTGCAATGGTTCCTAAATACCAACTGTGAGGTTCTGCTGCAATTGTAGTGTCAGGAATCTCAGTCGGAGTGAAGAGTGGGGGCTCAAAGTCACTTTCCGTTTCTGTAGGAGGTAGAGCTGTTGTTCCAGCTGCTGAGGTCATGCTACTGTAATGTTTGGCTGGGATAGAGGAAGTTAGAGAAGGAGCAGACTCTTGAGAAAGGCTATCTGAGGTCGTAGTAAACTCTCTTACAGCGGGCCATGGTTCACTAGCCTTCGTTTTAGTTGTTGGGTCAGTGAAAACTAAGTCATTACTGGGAGCACTGCTTAGAAGATCCATTGGGTGAGAAGTTGCACTCAGTGAGACTGTCGGCGAGGTCGTAATCCTTTGTAATTGAGTAGTGGGATTATAAACATGTCTGTTCCTTTTTGGTTCATAATTTTGAGTGCTATGCTGAGGTTGAAAGCTTTCCCAGTCACTTTCACCCACAGGAACATCTTCACCAAACTCCCCTTCATTCTCATCTTCAGTTACTGGCATTTTGGTTTTATCTTTTTGATTGCCTTTGTATTCGTCGTGGTTATTTGAATTTCCATTCAAACTTACATGCGTTTCAGGAGTTAAAAAGATGTTTGGCACAGTTTCATATGATAATGTGAGCTTGTCCTGAGGGGACACATCTGCAGTGGACGGAGGTTTCCTTGTAATGCTGATGTCCTGACTCAAGCCAATATCAAAGTCTGATGCCTTCAATTTGTTAAACAACCTGGTAGCTACAGAGGATGGTTCAGTTGTTGTAATGACAGGCAGAAAATAGTCCTCAGCAAATAGCTCATCATTATTTTCATCCAGTACGTCTTTCTTTTGAGGCCCATGACCTTCAGAACCCTTGCTTGTAATGCTGTCAAAGCGAATAGTGGTGGGACTGTTTTGGTTTGCAGTGGTGGATGGCGAAGAGGTAGTTGCGGGGACATCTGTCCCTGCCAGATAAACGTCTCCATGTTTTATTCCTGAGTTATCAAACATATCCTTTTCATCTTTATTAAGGTCATACGATAGATCCTCATGGAATTTTATAAAATTATAGTCATAGTAAAAATCATCAACTTGAAGATTTTTCACAATAGAATTTTCAGAGGACTTTTCAATATGACTGTAATGTGAGAAATCATCTTCTATAATGTCATTGAGGTCAACATTGCCCCTGGGCTGATTTAGAGTAAGACTGTCATGAGGTATAGCTTTTATCTCATTGAAAAATTCTTTGCTGGACGCTCCACTTCCGGACCAGTCGTTGCCAAAGTTGTCCGAGTTTATGGGGCAGTCCTTAGCATAGCATGGCATGGTTGAATTAGGCTTGGCTTTCGGATCACAGTCTACACCAGTATTCCAGCTGCAGGTCACGTCACGTATGCGGAAACCATCTGCACAGCTCACTGAGCACTGAGGAAGAAACAGACAGTAAGAGCTGTCAAGTCAGAACACGGTCTCACATCGATTTAAAAATAAAAATGAAATAGCAAGTGGGAGCGTTCTGTATATCAATGAGTCAAAAGAGTATAAAAGCGTCGCCTTTGTGCAGTTTTATCCCATGAAACACAATCTGAAGCTCGTCTTATGGGAAAGTAGGGAGTAGTCATAAAGCATGTATAGTGTTTGTAGTATTGACAGCATTATTGTGAAGATTAATGTTCCCCTCAGTTCATATAATGTGATGAAGTAGTACTGTGGTATAGAGATAGATCTGATAGCATGTGGAAAAAAAGGATACTTGTTACAGTCAAATCTACTCAAATCCATAGTTTGGTTCAAACCTTAATTTTTGATTTAATATTAATCAGAAATTTTTATTTTTATTTTTATTTTTTTATTAATGCACAGATCATATTATATATATATATATATATATATATATATATATATATATATATATATATATATATATATATATTAGTGCTGGGAAACGATTAATCCAAAATAAAAGTTTGTGTTTACATAATATATGTGTGTGTACTGTGTATAATTATTTTGTATATATAAATACACACATATGCATGTATATATTTAAGAAAAATGTGTTATTTATATATACAATATTTATATGTATATATAATATCAATTATGTATAAATGTATATACAGTATATACATGCACATTTTTCTTAAATATATATACATAATCGCTGCTATAATGCTACAAGGCTGCGCTGACAATCTCAGTAAAACCTTTCTTCACAGATCATTCTGTACTCTTTAAGAATGTCATAATCACATTTCAATCATGACAACTCTCAGTGTTATGACAATGTTGATATGTTTGGTCTTGGCGGAATAGGTATGATACTTTTTTGCTGTACACACACAACACGCTGCTGTGAGCAAGTAAGACATGCTGCTGCTGTACAATACAGTGTACATGAATTACCCATAGCAGATCTATACAGGTGGAGCTGGGGAAGGTGGAGGGTTTCTGAAAGCGCGCTGCAACTGCTACAGCAAATGCTGACCGATATTTGAAGGTTGAGCAGCGAGCTCATTGGCTACTGAAACAGCAGGACCAATCAGCTGTGCCCTAGAGAGAATGATGTGATTGCAAGCAGGTTGAGTTAAGGACCGATCAGCCTGCGCCATCTAGAGTTTCACGACAGAACTTTGTACGTATAAAGCCGGCTCACCTCTGACCAGCTTCCTGAAGTCCAGTCAGCAGGACAGGACACGCGTGTGTTACACGGGACGATTGACTCAGGCTTAGGCAAGTGTTGACATTCAGTGGGCTGAAGCGCTTGTTGCTCATCCAGCCCTAGGCTCCGAATACACAGCACTGTTCTCTTCCTAAGCCCCATGTCCCCACAGCTAGATGAGCACTTCTGCCACTCTCCAACCCACCATCTGATGACAAAGAAACATCACAGGAATTTACTGCAATCTTACTGCACTTAAAAGCCATCAAGCGTGCTGCTGCTGATGGGTGAGTAAAGCACAGGGCGGTTCAGTAAAACTCACATGGCTGGACATGAGCCCTTATTACAGGTAGTTTGCTTGTCATCAGGCCTAGTAGACTGATCACAGTAATGCTCCTCAACGATCCCAGATGTTCTCTCCACACAGTGTACAACTTGCCTTTGCACACCTGAAAAAAAAAAGAAGCTGTTGTTTAGAAAAAGGTACGTTTGCTCATGCACACAAGTATGCACTTAACATCACAGAAAATGGTAAATTATAGAATCTTCTGGCATTTCAACAGAGAAAGTTGACAACTGTACCACAGTCTGCCCATCTTCATAGGGAAAAAAAGCTCAAATTAATAAATAAGCACAAAATAAATCACATAAATAAATGTTACCGAAAATGTAAATACAGTTTATTTATTGGATCACTTATTAGGGTCGGTAACACTTTATTTTTCAACTTTTTTTATTTTGTATTTTAACAGATACAAATTTCGATCCTACAAATGGATTAGTAAATGTTGAGATTCACATGAACTACGATTATTAAATACTTTAAGTATTGTTCATTGTTATCTCAGGTTAACTAACTAATGTTACCTAATTTTCATAAAATTTTGTCAAAAGTTTGTTAATTTATATACTTTCCATGATCAATTAGCCAATAGGGGTAAACATATCATAATTTCATAATATTATTATAAAAATATGATCAAATTAGGGGGAAAATGGCAATAAAATGTAGTGTTAGTGGCATTTCACTCTCTCTTCTGCTTATCTTTTTGTGAAATTCCCCCAACACTAAACTGAAAAATTTGTCTGCATGACATTATAATTTGGCTGGCATTTAGAGAAAAGCATTTTATTTAATAATAATTCGGTTTGCCTTTACGAACACGTGCACCAGCCTATAATCTTTCTGTGGTTTGAACATTTTCTGATCATCCTATTTTCCTCTGGGAATGAATTTAGGAACATCTTGAGCTCAGATATTCTGTAGTTCAAAACCAGAGATGGCAGCAAATTCATGGCCTCTGATACTTACCACCTTCATTACTCTATTACTATTCTACCTTAGGAATTGAATTGACTCCAAAAGGAGGAGGGATCGCTCTTCTTGAGTACTCTCCTCATCCTCGGGCTGGTCTCGACCTTTATTTGACCGCTTTGAGAAGCAAAGTTTCCAATAGAGAGATGAAGGGACCCACAGTCCTTCACAGGTGTTTGAAGAATGTAATCAGATGAACCCTCAAACAGATGGGCTAAAGGGCCCCGGGGCCCATGTGTCAGTCTGCACTGATTGGTGTGACCCCCAAAAGACACGGTGTCACAAAGGACCTGATCTCCATGTATACAATGTCATATGTTCAACTACAGATTCATGTTAAACTCAAGATACTTTTTATGTTTTATTTTTCAACAGAATCCCACATTAGGGCTGTCGATTTAACATGTTAATTTGGTGGATTAATTATGGAAAAAATAACGATAATCCTTAATCGTGTTCAGTGTGAAAGGCCCTTTACACTGCATGCAGTTTAGTTACGAACATGATGCAGGACAATTACTGACTGCACGATCAAGCCTATTAGAATACAGTTAAAATGCCACAAAAATTCAAGATATGGGGGCAAAAATGCCCAATATGGGTTTTTGTCTCATGTTTATATCATATGATATAGTAATATTTACATTGGAAAGGCTGAATTTGTCGTGATGATGTAGCACTGGCCTGTCAACTGAGCGTCGGTCACCTTCATGTTTTCACAACATTGCATTATTAGAATAAAACATTTTTTACTGGCCAACTGGTGACTACACCGTCCCATGGCTTTAAATCATTTGGGAGTAATTTCTAAGCCAAAATTGATGCGATTAATTCGCAATTAATTTAGTTAATAATCGGCACATCATGTAATTAATTAGATTAAAAGCAGTCACTTCAGTTCATAACATAATTTTTTTTTAAATCTGAACATAAATGCTTAGCTCAGCTCATTTTAAAACATTATTTGATGTACTGGGAACCCTTAATTTGAGTTTGGACCGACAAAGCTTTAATTCCGCTGTTATGATATAGAATAATTGATTTACCTGCTGTGCCAGACCAATTAAATGATGCCATTTGTTTGAGCACTTCAGTCAAATTAAAGATGAGCAGCGGTTAATTGCATCTAAATATGATCATATTCACTCTAACTCTTCAGAACTATCGAGAATGGTGCTCTTGGGGTAGATATGGACACATTTTTTTGTAATATTCTACTTCATTTTCATATTTTATTACAAATTAATGTTAATTAAAAAACTATGTGTGCTGTGCAATAACCTTTAACAGAGAGCTGTTGATGGCCAAAAGCAAAATATGAAAATAAATACATGTTACAAAGAACACATTTAGCTAAAGACAAACAAATGGCATTTCATGTGAAACTATCCACTGATCATAATTAACGAGAATCAATAAAATGTACTTTAATTTCAAGAGGAGTCACTTTAAGTAAAGTAGTAAAATATACAGCAGCATTGCATTGACTTTAAAGGGGTCATGACTCATGACAAAATACATCAAATTTTCCTTGATCTTTTGACATATAAGAGGTCTTTGCACCATTAAAAACATCTTGCAAGTTTCATAGCTTAAAACGTTCTCCTCATTAAAAAAAAAAATCCCCAAAAATGGCTCATTTTGATATTTCGGGATCTGTGACATCACACAGGCAAATATATTTGCATATGCCCGCCCCCAGAGCAAGACATCAACCAATAGTTTTACATCATGAATGCACTATAGGCTCCGCCCCCTGGCATTCAGTCGCTTAATGGCAGACATTTGCCTACACTGACAAATACAAATACAAAACGAATAGAAGCCATTATAATGACTGACGCTGCTGTCTACACTGATACAGTAAACAGACGTGCGTTCAGTTTCTGACGTACTCCACATGCTTAATAATGCTTTGTCTGTAAATGACGGTTTTATATGGATAATGTTTTCAATAGCGAGTGGGTGTTGATACTGTTTCCTATCCAATGATGTTAGCCAATCATAATAGTGACCGTTTACTGACAGCCTTAAAGGAGCCGCGACCTAAAAACAGATCATTTCAGGGTGAGAATGAAGATTGAAAATAATCATTTTCCGCATATATATTTGTTTTTTTATCGTGCAAAAAACTTTATTAACATCGTAAGTGAACCTCAAGGGACATATTAAAATTATAAAACCTTTTTAAGAAACTCTATCAGAGACCCTGGTTTCTGGAACCTCAAGTATACAAAGGACGAGATATTCAGTCTAATAATTCAAACTCTTGTTTCTGTGTACATTTTACTTCCTAATTTTCCACCAAAACACCTCAGTATACAAACCTCTTTCTATTAGCAAAACTAAATGAAACGATTAACAAATAAATGTGTTGTGGTTCAGCTTCATAACTACCAGCTTCTCTAAATAATTTCTACAAACTCTGTCATTATCTCAACAAAACCCATCCACTTGCTTGTACTTTTCTATCTCTAAATGAAAAGAGTTGTACATAAAACTTTAATCCCAGTTTTGATCCTTATGAATACATAATTTAAACGATACATTTACCAAAAAAAAAAAGCTCTGCTTCCCACAGAGTGCAATTGCATGCAAATCCTTAAGCCTGTGATTTCAGCTGCCTTGTCAAATACAAAAATGTTACATGGTACATTAAATGGTACATTTTTCAGATTAAATATTGGTCTCTGAGATACAAAGAACAAAATATGCAGCAAAGTTAGAAGTAGTAGTTGTTCTTTTTAGTCATCCTTACATAAGCAGTGAGGGTCACATATGAGGAATGAGGAAAAGATTTTTGTAAAAAGAGCTTGTAAAAACTCTCAGGATGTTTATCATAATTACATTTTGATTATCATATAGCCATTTGTTTAACGGAGTATGAACGACACTGTAAGAACTTCTTCAAATGTACTTTCTTAAACATTGAGGACAGTATTTCTTCCTGCATGGCTCCTAAATACATTCATAACAACAGCGGCAGATTTCAAAAGGCTTTCAACATCATTAACTGGAAATTCTTAGCAGATTAACCCGCCAGCTGACCAAAAAAATACCCAGGGTCAAATTAGACACACTTTAATCACGAATTCAGAGAATGTTTAATGGTATTTAGAGAACAAGTCTAAAGATTTGTTGCTGAAAATTGTGAAAGGACATAATTTGAAAGACAATAGATATCTGCTAGTGGTTCAACGGATCAGATCAGAAGTTATTAATGTAATAATACAATATAACAGTTACAAATTAAAGTCTAACTGTAGTGTTCAGGTACAGAAATGTAATGTTGTTTGACCAACATTATTGACACAGACAGCTGCAGGTTAATTAGGCTTCTGTCACTTTAAGTCCAAATGCACGTATCCAATATAATGGTACACATCAGATTTCTTTTTCAACTGTTCACTTAAGACATGACAAGACATATATTTTGACATCATTTCGTGTGTATTTGTCCGTTCAAGGGAAAGGAGATGTGAAAGAAGTATCAATTCCGTGTTTGCACGAAACGTGCCTCTCTGAGTGTGCGCACAGATAACAACGCGCGGGTACTAAATTGACAAGACAAAACACGTGCAAATGATGAACTTTCCCTCTATGATGGTTAACCTTTGGAATTAATCCACGAATCACATGCGTGCCGAACCGTATGGCCTGGTCCGTACGGATCATGGATCAACTACGATCTGTTTAACCCCTAAAATCTACATGAGGAACTTTTTCACCCTCACACAAAACTCCCTATCGTGTAGGTTGAAATGACTGGATTTCACTACAGTAAATGTGACCGCACCTTACAAGACCATGTTATACCCTTATTAAGTCTTATTTCTAATTTATTGAAGCTTGCTTGAGCTGGGATATTTTCACAACATTATATATGAGCATCAGCTTGTCCAAAGTCTGTTTCCTATAAAGTTTAATTCGGGACTGTTCGCTGTCTGTCTGCAATTATTGAGAAAGCAATATGTGCCAGAGAGAGCTAATTTATAGCTGAAGCCGAGCAATAGAGCCAGAGTGAGCAACAGATCAACTCAGCTATTTTCTGCTCTTTTCAGTATAATATGAAACTGTAACAGGGTAAGTAAATACACATAGAGTGGTTTAGCAGATCCGTCAGGATTGGCTCAACTTGAGCATGGGCAAAAGTTAAAAGTGAAAGTGTACAACAAGACGACTCCTTACCAGTTCCACATGTGGCGCTGCACTCCGTCCAACTCCCATAAATCCACTGGAAATAAGAGACAGCAGTGCCGTTGTTGGAATCGACTACAGTGTCTCTGCTTATGGTGTACTCGTACCTCACCCCTGGATTCGACTCCTGAAAAAGCAGCTGGAGAACATTGAGGGCAGATTAAAGAGAAATCTTGACACAAGAACACACAAATCATGTGAAAAACACACAAATCTCAGACCTAGAATCTAGGACAATGCCCATAAATATATATATAATATATATATTACGATTCTACTGTATTGTCTGTCCCTCCGTCCGAATATAGTACACTTTTTGAAAGTATGCAATATCAGATATAGTATAATTTAAATCGGTCCACATCGTGACACATTGCAGCTTACTGAATCATGACTGTTTGAATTAATTGTGAGGCAGTTGCCAGTCCTAATGTACATTTTTACATATTTTTGTGTTGAGACCAGAGACAGTTGTTTGAAAATTTTAAGTGAAATCTTATTAATTTAAGTGGTGCAAGATTTTTTTTTTTTTTTTACATATGAACAGACATATACAGTAATTTAGGGTGTGTTCACACTTGGCATGTTTGGTTGGTGCGATTGCTCTGTTAATGCGGTTCATTAGAATAAGTGTGAACGCTGCCATCTGAACCCTGGTGCGCAACAAACAAGTGGATCTTATTTGCTTCAAGGTCTTGATAAATTGTGGCACTTCTTTGTGGTTAAGAATCCAGTATTCCCGTAATATTTTTGTCTTTTAGGAGTTTAATAAAGAACTCTGTCTCGTCTTCTGTCTAAACATACAGCGTCATCTTTAAAGAATGATCGACTTTAACGTACGTCAGGTGACCTGTAAAAAAAACTGTTTCCATTGCAGTTTTGTGAAATATTCCTTTTTCGAATTTCCTAAAAAACTTCCTTATGCGAGTGTAAAAACTTTTTTGCGATATATGGGAGTTTTTGCAAAATGTACACGTTTCAATTGGACGTATTTTCAATTTCAATTTGCACAGTTACAGTTCGGTACAAGCGTCAGAACCGCGTCTCCTCGCAGCAGAACTTCATTTTTGCGTGTCGGAGGGATTCCTGGCGCTGTTTTAACTCCGTTACACATATTATAAGCTCCTCAAGAGTTCTCAGCTGGTAAAAATACCATCATATGTACACACATTCACATTTAGTCCAGCACACAGGATTCTTTTGGATGTTCGGTAAGTTCCATCGCAAAATATATGTCATAAAAGCTTTTTTTTTTTCGATCTTTAGGTTTAGGTTTTATCTCGAGGTAAGCGAACCAGGACTTTTTTTGGTTTGAAAGACCAAAGACAACCAAACTACAAGTGTGAACACACTGAGACAGCAGGAGAGTAAAACAGAAAAATGTGAGGTTGTAAGCTATTCTCAGCCACATGGGATTTAAAAATATGGATAGTGATAAGAGGACTTTACTATGGATCCAGATTTCATTTGTCTGCCTCCTGCTGCTGTAGAAATCCCTCTTTCCCCACCCGCGCAAAGGCTTCGAGCCAAAGGTCTTAAATCGCTCAGTGGGAGGAAGTCCTTTATCTAGATTGCCCCTTCTCTGCTAGACATACTAGCCTAAATCCCTAATAAACGGCGTCCTCACTTTATTGGCACTACAACATAAAAAAAGCATGCACATTTTCTATTAATAATCAGACTCTGTCTGCTAATGATTAATATGGGAATAAGCCTTTTATGCAATAAGTTCAATCATCAGTCCACTAAATTTTCAAATATATTTTGCTTTTTAAACAAGGACTGGAATAAAATCATATATTAATATTTTGTTATTGAAAAAGATCACAAAGCTACTTCCCGCTGAGTAGAATTTGATGCAAATCCATTGATTTCACTTTGCCAGTCAGATAAAACCATTCTGTTTTCTCAGTTCAAATACAGTAGTCAACATTTGAAGTGGATCAAAAAAGTTCATCAAAGTTGTCTTAAGACAAGAACGGGTAGTGTTCAAAATTAAGGTTTTGATCCACTTCAAATGTTGACTACTTTATTTACGGTTGATGGAGATACAATGAACTACGCATTTATCAAAAAAAAACGATAGCACTTTATTTTACAGTCCTGTTCCCCATGTACATACTATGTACTCATGATAGTAATTGCAATAACTGGTTAATAACTAAGTACTAACCCTGAACCTACTAAACCTAACCTTAACCCATGTAGTTACATTATATTTCCCAGTACTTTCTTAGGTAAGAAAGCTGTAAGCGCACATACTGTAAAATAAAGTACAACCAAAAAAACAATAATAACTGAATAATAAAATGAGTACATTTTTTCCAGAAGTCTTTACATAAGCAGATAAGGCTCTGTGTTAGGAGAAATTTGCAGTTGTCTGTTATGAAGCTGTAAATGTTTCCCTGGATAATACAGTCTCTTTATCGTATAAGTAGTTGTCTGTATACCTTTCCATGCCATGCAACAAATGTGAGATGTTAAATTATGTTTACCATTTTAGGCCTCTATTTAAACTGTAAACCACATTTCAGGCATCAATTCACTACACTGTGACCTAGTTTAGCAGAACACTTTAGCAGGTGCTTCTGAAAACAAAGCCCCCAAACATGACATACTAGATTCTGTTCAAATGCATGGAAGTTAGTACCTGAATCCACACCGGCTCCATGGTCGGTCCGGGGGAAGATATATTTTCCAGCTGCCCGGTCCTTTCGTAAGTGAATACTGTTCCTGCTGCCTTATACTCGCCATTCCACTGGATCGTCCATCCACCGTTCAGGAAATATTTATCAGGGTCATTACTGCGTAATGCCAAGTAGTTCTCAGCCTCTGCGACTTCCTCAATACGGATGTCCCGTGCTCCTTCCGGAATAAGGCCTATGTCTACATAGCCTGGGAGACAAAAAAAACAACAACCTCAGTTTATTCAAACAAATGAAGCAGAAAGAAAACAAATGTGTAATGTTATATTTATGACATGAATGCTACTTTCAGTAAAATATAAACAGAAACTCATTTTACAAACCGAGCCCTTCGCTGTCCTCAAAGGTCTTTCTCACTGTCTCACATGTAGATCCATTTCCATGGCAAACCCCACATTGATCCTCAACGGCATTCGAGTCGATTACATAATCACAGCCTATGTACTGTGACACGATCATATAAAAGATAAAAAAAACATTTAATTTTAACAAGTGCATCCTCCATGTTGTTTGTTATAATGATTGGGTGTTCTGAGTGGTTGCCAGGGTGTTGCTAGGCGGTTGTTAGGTTATTCTGGATGGTACGATTCTGGAAAAATTAGGTTCAAAAAGTGATTTTCTCTGTTTTGAACGCTACTGTAGACATCAGTGTCGTAAGGTCAGCAGCGGCGCCACAGATCTGAATTAGATCTGAATTAGATTGCTATCTTTTAGCGATTAATCGTCCAGCTCTACTGGATGGTTGCGAATGTTTACTTACTTGTCCAAGTCAAAGGAATCCACCATCTATAGCCTCAATCAGAATGTCAGTCCAAATCGTCTCTGGTTGCGACTGTAACCTCTGTTCCCTACTAACAGGGAACGAGACACTGCGTCGATGGCGCTTTGGGGAACGCCTCCGTGTGAACCAGTGTCTGAAACGCTTATCTAATCACGGCGATCCTATTGGCCGGCGACAGCCTATGACATCAGTACTAGTGCGACCCGGAAGTATAAGGGAAGTCTGGAGAATATGTCAACAACTTATCGTCTGAAGGGACTGTTCAGCAGGCATCCCCGAGGCATGGCGAAAGACGCAGTTTTTCCTGTTCTCAGGGAACAAAGGTTACAGTCGTAACCTGAGACGTTCCCTTTCGAAAGGGAACTAGCACTACGTCAATGATGCTTTGGGGAACGATTTACCAACGCTGCCAAGCTGAGGGGAGTGCATGCCAAATTATGCTGTGACAAAAACGTCAAAGATGGCAGTTTCACTGAAATGCCAAAACATTCGCCCTTCAGGTCACATACAAGCTGTCAATGATAGTATTCCCTACGGCCACTGCCCAAGCTATAAGCTTCAAAGAGGCCTTCAAAACAATGAAGGCCTACCAAGGCTGCTCAAAGGCTTGGAACCAACAGCTTCCATGGAAGGGGTTCCTTTAAGGGAATATGGCCAAGGGGTCCAAAGGAGTCCCATCCAGTCACTTTCTGAGGGTGACATGAAGTCAACCCCACATGCCACCAGGGAGGGCTGACCTGGTCTAATTTACTGACCTAGTCTTGCCAACAACCCGTCTGTTTCCTAAACAGAGTCTCCACCAAAACTTGCCTCACTTGTGGAGGCATCCGATAGGGAGGACTGCAGATAGTGGCAGTAATCGCTCACATTTACTGACCTAGTCTTGCTATCATAGAAACAGGCATCCTGGAGAGTAGAACTCTCTTTCTAAACCTTGCAAACTAGGGGAGTAACTCTACTCGATCCTGGATCTACACAGTGCTTCAAAGCCCTGTGGAGGCTGGGCACTCTTAAAAGGTACCCTAATAAGGGGAGCGCCTCCAGCTCTAGGGCTGATCTAACAGGGAGGCCTCGTGAGAGTCCTTCGACCTTCCGACCAGACTTAGTGAGCTAAGTATTCATACAGAACAATCCTCAGATATATTCTGGAATACTATGCTCAAACCTGATAAGTATTGACCAGGCTCTGGGCTAGAAACAGGGAGGCTTCATGGGAGCCTGCAACGTGATACTTAATGCCTTTGCAATGCTAAGCATCCAACTCGTTGGAGAGCCGCCTTCAAGGGGGCCTTTAAAGGCCTAACTACTTGATAGCGGGACTGTTAGCAGAGCTAGCTACAGAAGCCAGATGCTCTCACAGACATCTCTGTGGGCCTGGTTATACTTATTTAACATTGCCCACAGGCAGTGTACTCAGCAGAAGTACTATCTACCCTTTAAAGCAAGGGGAGTACAATCTTACTCTACTGGATTATCGAGGAGGCCTACTGTAAGGCCTACAGCTTCGACTTTCACGGACGTCAGCCCGGGCAGTGCTAAGGCTTTCTAAACAGAGTCTCTAACCTTACTTGCGTTACTTGTGGATGCATCCAATAGGGAGGACTGCAGGTAGTGGCAGTATTCACTCACAGACCGGATCATAGAGACGGGCATCCTGGAGAGTAGAACTCAGCATAGCGCTTTCTAACCCTTGCAAATGAGGGGAGTGACTCTACTCGATACTGGATCTACACAGTGCTTCAGGGCCCTGTGGAGGCTGGGCACTCTGAAAGGGACCCTAATAAGGGGAGCGCCTCCAGCTCTAAGGTTTACATTGCCAACAGGCAGTGTACTCAGCAGAAGTGATATCAAACCTTTAAAGCAAGAGGAGTACAGTCTTATGCTACTGGACTATCGAGGAGGCCTACTATAAGGCCTACAGCTTCGAATGTCGCGGGCGTCAGCCCGGGCATTGCTTCGGCTCTAAGGGAGCGTACATGGGAGGGAGTAACTAATCTGTCTCTACCTGAGCCTGGTTGGTAAAGGGTGATATCATAAGAGCTATGGGTAGCAAAGTACTCTTAAACAATGACCCTAACAAGGGGAGTACTATCAGCATGACCCTGAGGAATGTATCGGGGTTGAGGCCTATTATCTTGTATTTCTACAAGACAGATTTTACATTATCTACAGAACCCAAGGAAATGGAGGCCACAGTAAGTGACCAACGACATTCAACCTTATGACTTGAATTCTTTTATTCAAAGGGCTCAGCGGAAAAAACAACTTTTTCAGTTTTAAGGCCTAGCTGGATAAACTAGCTACAATACTCAGCTCTAAAGGGACGCCTGAGCATACTGCTTCTTACTTTCTAGATGGAAAGGCTTGACAAACGCTCATGAGACATCTGGGAGGCTTTTTGAAGATAGCCTGCTACCTATGCTGCTATCTATCCTGTACCACCACTAGCATTTTTACACCTAATGCAAAAGGCGGGCCTTGGCTAGACGACTCTTGTAGTAAGAGGAGGCCAGTACTAGGAAAAATTACATTTACAAGAATAAAATATCCTGATGGGCTCTCGGTCTAAGGAACCTAAACTCAGATACTGAGAGCCTCAAGGTGAGAATGCTCAGCAGACCGCCACCATTGTCCTAGTTACTAAGCCTAAGCCAGATTTCAAGGTGGCCCCGTGAGGGCCGACACACGAATATTATATGACTGAAGTTCAGAGCTATAATCTCAAAACGACTCTCAAAGTGAGAGGAGACCTGCTGCACTAGTATGAGGTGGCTATCAAGTTTGCCCGAAGAGGCAGATAGACTCTGTAGCTCTATCTGGAGCTTGACAGAACGGTGGCCTAAACTCCCGCTAGGGAGGAAGCCATCTCACACAGAATGTCTGTTTGATGCTCAGATGAACGCTGGCCTCACTAGAGAATTTTCCATATAATAAAGCCAACCTGTTCACTACTACAGATTGGCACTACCCACTATATAAGCCTGACGACTCTAAAATAAGAGGAGGCCTATGGGAAGGGTATGCTTAGCCTACCTATATATGGGAACTTCAGGGCCCTAATTCACCATCCTATCTATTTAACACCCTCTTAATACTTTCTAACAGGGAACCGTGGTCTATTATTCCAACTTACTAAAAAAACCTAGTAAAGGGAGGAGACCTACAGAGCTCAACCTGCTGCCCATAGAGTGATAGCCTAAACGACATTCACAAAATGGAGGCCTATCACCATAAGAGCAAGAAAGAGCCCACTTACTACAAAACCCGACGCCAGACCTACAGAAGGGTTACAAATTAAAGGAATAACTCATAAAAGGTTCAGCCTTAGGGCTGATGCAAGAAGCGCTTGGAGTGAGAGATTTAAATGCTTCAAATCTGTCAGCAGATCAGCCTGGTATGCTTGCAACACCGCCAGTGTGTGCAAGGCATCACCAGCCGGACCCACCGCTGCGTATGCCCTGCCATTATGTATGCTGTCATATTTTGGTGGCTTAAAATGCAGGGCCTGAGCACTTAGTGTCGATGCCTCTCCAGCCGTGAGATAGTTCGCGAAAATCTCGTCAATTGGGGCATCGACACATACCCGTGTTCGCCCATTCCCTCAACATACCCGCATTCGCGTATTCCCTTAACATCAGCGTAGTTCGCTGATGGCGATGAATGCGCACTAAATATGGGTTCTTCCATGCCTTTTCGATCTCATTGTGTAGATCGGGCAGGAATGGAAGGCTCACGAGAGCTGGAGCTTTATGACGGGAAAGAAACCGTTCATCAAGTCTGCCACGAGCGGTCTCTTCCCTCACGCGCTCCAACAACAGCTGAAGCCTCGCTGAAGCTGTTGGAGAATTTCATATTTCATCTGTCTTATACATGAGTCTGAATGCTGTAATGCCAAGCAGAAAAACTAGGTCACAGGGCATGTGAGGATAGGGCATATGAGGACATAGACAAGAGAGTGGAAAAGTACCCCAAAAACTTGTAGCACAGAAGCAGGTGTTGGGAAGCACTGGAAGAGAAACATATTGTATACAATGTAACGATGTGCCACCAAGAAAAGGATACTAAAACAAGATGTCCATTGTGTAAAAGGATACTAAAACAAGATGCCCATTGGGTAAAAAGATACTAATACAAACGCTAATTAGATACTAACGATAAGAAAAAGGTATAAGACTAGAGCACTGGCCCATGAAAGATCAGATGTGTGGCCGTCATCTCACTTTGTTGCTCAATAAAGTTATTCTTCTGAGACCTGACTCTTCGACTCTGAAAGATTTCTTCTGAGACCTGAACCAGACTTTAAAGATTTGAACCAAAGACCGAGAATTTGCCACAACAAACCGCGTAACACTCAACAGCTTAACATACGCCGGGCAGGGTGGCTGTGAGGGTTTGGGTTGTAAATCCTCTTCACCCTCATTAGCCATTTCCTGCTCTCTTGGGCTGGATGTTTTTATATACAGGAGAGCACTCGCTGCTGGATCAGAGGATGTTAGTGATAACACATCCTCATCCTGCAGCTCTCAAGAGTCTCCGAGGGGCGTGAGAGATTAACGATTCTCTCAAACTCTTCAGCGAGCTCCCTCTGAAAAAACGATTCCAGTCTCTGCTCTGCCTCAGCGCAAGCAGGACCCAAACCGCCTGGTACCCTTGAGAAGAGAGCAGACGAGAGTGTAGTTTTCTCAAGGGAAAAACTCATAGTGGCACAAGCAGAACCCTCAGGAACTGATCACAAGCCATGATTACCTTTTTGAAGTTTCAGGTTGAAGAGACAAACAAAACAGTCTCTGAAGATGAAAAGATGTTGACAGTAGGGATGCACGATGATATCGGGACAACATCGGTATCGGCCGATAAAAGCTTAAAATGACCATCATCGGCATCGGCCGATATGAATATTTCTGCCGATGAGCCTTGCCGATAGGGTGGCGTGTTTCCAATGCGCACGTGACGCGAACGAAGCATGAGCGCCAGCAACTTAAACTTCCAACTAGGGGTGTGCGTCTCACGGTTTTTGATCGTGGACGATTAAAATGTCTCCACGATCTGCTTTTGAAGAAAAATCATAGTATCGTGCATTCTATCAGTTCAATTCTGGCGCCTTCATCTCAACATACTGTACAACGCGACGTACATTCACATCACATCACATGTAAACGCAGAGGTAGAGTTACACTCACGGTCACGGGACACCGCAATTCACAAAAGTTCATTATTTGCATGTGCGTCAAAGTCTTGCTAGGTAAACATATCATTCACGTGCTGATGCGCTGTTCTAACATCCGCTTTTCTGAGCGCGTTACACCCGACGCTCACAGGAACTAAAAGCGTGTCACAGAGTCTGCATACTGGACTAATCTTTCGAGTCTTATTGCGCTGATACTGTCAAATACACACACGGTTTACATAAACAAAGTTGGTTATGTCTAAAGTGAAAGCAAACAGAGAAAATCTGCTTGTCAAATGCGAGTATATTAGACGCGTCGCGTGCAGTTCTTAAAGAGACAGTATAATATGCTGCCGCTTGTCCTTAAAGAGATACTGCACCCAGAAATAAAAAATTCTGTCATTATTTACTCACTCTAATGTTGTTCCAAACCTGTATTCATTTCTTTCTTGTGCTTAAATATACTATGGAAGTCACTGAAGTACAGCAACTGTTTGGTTAGCCACATTCTTCCAAATAACTTTTATAATTTCAACAGAAGAAAGAAACTTGAGAGAGTAAATGATGACAATTTAAATTTTGGGGAGAACTATCTCGTTAATGTTAATAAAACAACAAAACACAAAGACGAAATCACTCACTGCTCTTGACTGAGAACTTTAATAGAAGCTTTAATAAGCTTTTTTTGCACTTAAAAAAAGTAAGTAGTAAGTAAGTAAGTAAGTAAAATTTATTTGTATAGCACTTTTCTCAAAGTGATCACACTTTGAGAAAACAAAGTGCTTCACAACAAAAGAAAACCTTAACAACTCTCATAAATACATTGCATCACAAAAACAAAAACAAAATAAATAAATAAAATAAAATAAACAACACGTACACATTAGACCAGCCTAACCACCCTACAAACTAGTTAAAAGCCTCTTTAAAAAGCAGAGTTTTCAGCTGACTTTTAAATTTTTCCACACAATCCAAGCCGCGTATGGAATGAGGCAAAGCGTTCCACAACCTGGGTGCAACAACTTGGAATGAACGGTCCCCCCTTGTTTTAAAATGTGTAAGGGGGACAACTAATAATCTCTGGCCTGTTGATCTCAGACTACGTGAGGATGTACGCAGCTGTATCAGGTCGATGATGTATGGGGGTGCCTGTCTTTGTAGGGCTCTAAAAGTTAGGACCAAAATTTTGAAGTGTATTCTAAATTTCACTGGTAGCCAATGAAGTGGAGATAAAACTGGAGTAATATGTGCCCTTTTACTCGTGTGGGTTAAAAGCCTAGCAGCAAAATGTTGTACAGTCTGGAGACGAGACAAATCCTTCTTATTAAGACAAGTAAAAAGACTGTTACAATAGTCTAAGCGAGACGAGACAAAAGCATGGATGATCATTTCCAACTCAGCTTTTGACACCAAGGCTCTTATCTTAGCAATGTTCCTTAATTGAAAAAAAAAACAGTTTTTAATAAGAAGATTCGAATGTTTCTCCAGAGACATGGCCGCATCAAAAACAACACCTAAGCTCCTGAGACTGGGCTGAACTGACGAACCTAGGGCACCAATGTGTTTCTTTATCTGAGGGATGGTCTGCTCAGGGGCAATAATTAAAGTTTCAGTCTTGGCTGAATTCAACATTAAAAAGTTGTCATTTAGCCACTGCTTGATCCTGCTCAGACAATTCAATAAAGATGACAGTTTAAATAACTCTGTAGGCTTGAAGGAACAGTATAACTGAATGTCATCTGCATACAAGTGATGTGAGACATCCTGAAACTGGCTTATTATCTGTCCTAGAGGGAGTATATATAGAAGGAAAAGAATCGGTCCCAGGACAGAACCCTGAGGAACACCACTCAATAAACCTGCAGTATCGGACATTTTCTGATTTATGTAAACACTAAAACTTCTACCAGTAAGGTATGATGAAAACCATTTCAGAGCTGATCCGGATATCCCTAATAGAGCCTGAAGTTTATTAAGCATAATTTTGTGATCAATAGTGTCAAAAGCAGATGTAAGGTCCAACAAAACTAATACTGTATGCTTCCCAGAATCAGCAGACATCAAAATATCACTTGAAACTTTCGCCAGTGCAGTTTCCGTAGAATGTTTTTTACGAAAACCTGACTGATATTTATCAAAAATATCATGTATCTCTAACGGCGAGCCGTTCGAGGCGTCCCAATCACTGAGCAACCTGCAAGGCAGAGCTCATTTAAGTGTATGGCTTCCTTTTCCTTTTGCCATGTTTCTGTGAGGAACATAAAATCCATCTTTTCCGTGAAGATAAGATCGTTGATGGCATGCGCCTTGTTTGTGATGGAACAAGCATTTAGCAGCGCTAAACGGAGCGATGATGGCAGACCAGTCTCCTTAATAGCAGGTTGTAGTGGCCGTAAACACCTAGTACAGTCACGTGATTTCCAGCGGTGTAGTGGGGCCAATCGCTGGTCAGGCAGGTCGGACACAAACTGCAGTTTACCAACTGCAAGTCCACCGCCGCCCGGCGGTAACCAAAGGGGATCCTGTCCAACGGGCAGGACGCGCCGAAGGCGACCCTGCGACAGAGCGCCCCCGGCACCTACATCCCGAGGAAAAACCGGCAGCAGCCACCGCGGCCGCCGCCCACAGAGGAGCCCGGGCACCCCCATCGCCGAAGACAGCCTCATCGCGACCCGAACGCCAGCTCTGCAACCCCTTTTCCTTCGTCTCTTCTTTGGATTTCCACGACCCCGAAGCAAAAATCGGTAATCAAATAGGCTGGGTACGCACACCAGCGGGGGTGGAAAAGTTTGACTGTAACTCTCCCAGCTGTTACTGAGTCCTTCCATATACACTCCAATGTTCATCAGGGTGACACGATCGTATGTCAGAACAGCGGTGACACAGTGGTTTAAAGGCAGGGTTAATGTGACCATTAAAGGCAGGGTTAATGTGACCATAAAAGAGACATACACAAACAAATAAAAACGACATAAATGAGAGGCAGCAACGGCCATGCCAAACAAAGGCGCCATCTTGCCCTTGCCCCGAAAAAAACACACAAATATATCGGTATCGGCATCGGGCAAAATTAGTCTGAAAATATCGGCATATCGAATATCGGCCAAAATCCTATATCGTGCATCCCTAGTTGACAGGTTCTCCAGGCTTCCCTTATATCCTTCCAAGTCGCACTAGTAGTGATGTCATAGGCTGTCGCCGGCCAATGTTCATGCGGAGGCGTTCCCCAAAGCGTCATCGACACAGAGTTCCCTTTCGAAAGGGAACCAATTTTTGTACCAATCCAATTAGAATCCGATCATATTTAGAAAATGTGAACGACAAAAAAAAAAAAAAATCACATGAAATGCAATTTTTACAAATCCATTTTGAGCAACGATTCATATATGGTTTGAAATCCTATTTCAGTCTGACCACTCTAATCTGATTTCGTGTGGTTTATGTCTTTCTCACGCCACGTAAAATGTTAACATGCCAGACGCTGTTATAGAAAACTTGCTGAATGTTAATGCAGAAACAAGGTTGTGTTGTTGAGCCGGTCGAGCAGAAAATTACAATACTATGGTGACACGGAAAGAACACAACGAGACACACAAATCAGATCTGACCCGTTGAGATACACAATGTGGATAGTAAATAATCTACATCAGATTCCAATCGGATACACACTATCCGGCGGACTGGGAGAAGAATAGTCAACTTTATAGTTTTCTACACAATGTGTATCTGATCACATCATCAAATTATAACTGAAAGGATTATTATAGGTGTGTTTCTTGCCTTGACGTAATAACCAAGTTCCCAGTGTTCAGGTTTTCCCATTCTGCTAGATGACAAACGTAAGTGAAATAGCTCTCTTCTGAAGAGATTCTCTTCAAAAAATCTCCACAATTTTAACAGTATAATAAGGCTATGGTTGGTTCAGTGAAAGATATGTTTGTAGTCTGCAAATATTTAAATGTATATTGTGAGAAAGAGCTCTGTAGAAGCAAAACTGTAACAAAAACAAGCTTCCTCTTCTGTATTCAGCATTACCATGCATGCATTTCAGCCTGGGGTCGAACAAGGACTTGTTCAGATATTTATTTGTGGCTCTTGTGTTATATAAATTCACAGTTGACTGATACTCAAGCTGACAGACTGTCAATGGCTTGCGATGAAAATGACAAGTAGAAATTTACAAGGACAGTCTGAGACTGAGCAAAGAGGTCAAAGCCATTACCAACCTTGCAAATGCCGTTCACGCATATGTCTCGGCTCTGACTGCCTTCATAACACTGCGTCCCGTCCAAGACCGTGTCTAGCATCCGCTCCGAGAAGTGCTCGTTCACAGGTCTGCAGTGCAGCTCGCACGGATCAACTGAAATCACACAAACGTAGCCTTTCCGTAACATCTATTTAAAGAGAGCCTCAACAAAATCTCTCATTATCACCCCAGCACACTACGTATGAAGTGCTAGAGCTGCACCATTCTGGATAAATTAAGAATCACGATTTTTTGTTTAAAATAGAGGTTCTGATCATCTATTTAAAATGTTATTAATTAATTAGTCTGAATGAATCATTTTTGACAAATACATTCAATGACAAATACATTTTTTAACAGTCACTTGTCGCCACCTACTGGCGTAACAATGCAATCGATACAATCGTTATTTGAAGTGTCATGTTACTTTAATAAGGTGATTTCCTCTATTTTTATTGCTTCCGTAGACATCAGTGAACTATAAACTTTTATAATATTGATATTGAAAAGACTGTTTGTGAAGCTGTTTAAATACCTATACATGACAACTTCTCTCTCTCTGGATCAGCGGCAGCGCCAACACAGATCTAAATCAGTGTGATTGTGTCATAGGTTTAACTCTTTCCCCACCATTGACGGAAATTTTCGTCATTTGTAAGAAAACGCTTCACCGCCTTTGTGTTTTCACTGCTAGATGGTAGGGGATGCTATTATGCATCTTCTGAAAGAGTACTGAATATCCTGATTAAAACACTTGCGAAGAATATGCTGAAACGAGCGATCTTGATATGTAATCATATGCATACTTAAAATAACGCGATGATCAACATTAAACAGCATATAAATCAAAACTGCCTAATGTTACTGAACGAAATGTCGACCCAGGACGAGCTACAGGAGCTTTGAGGCGCTCATGGACTCAAACTACTCCATCTGTGTTTTGATCATCATTCTGAATCCCAACGTGATTTTCTCAGCTTCTTGCTTAAAATGTAGCTTTTTTTAATGAAACTTGCCCACATTCAAGTGTTGATAAAGAATGCATGAAGTTAGAATAACTTTTTTTCTTTTTCTTTTTAACAGAGGATCTGTTCTTTCTTTTGACATAATGCATGTTCAGATATTCAAACATTCTGGGGGCCATGAAACTTTTGTGAAAATGATCTAAAACGCTGGCGGGGAAAGAGTTAATAGACAGAGGCGAATCGTTGTCGTTTAGGTATGAGATGAGATCACATGGAGTGTTTGAATCGAGATCTCGATCTTTTAACGATTAATTGTGCAGCTCTACGTAGTGGCATAATGCTTACCTCTGTTATTCACATGCGTCCATTTATAAAACTTCCCCTTATAAGGGACTGTGTTAAAGCGGGAGCACTGGATGTATCTGAAGCTGGGCTGGTCCACAGGGCAGGGGTCACGGTTACAGGTTCGATATCTGCGGCGTTCTCCCAGACAGTATTTACCGCCATACTTGGGTCTAAAATAAAAGCATGAAACATTCAAAACGTCATTAGGTCATTCAAAATCACTTGTTATTTGTAGAAATATTCTCAAAAAAGACAAATATAGGCTAGTCAAAAAGCTTGAAATTGGTATAAAATGTCTAGATCACCTTGTCAAAGCAGCCATTGGCTCTAAACGCAATTAAAAACACACTGTAAAACCTGATGAGTTAGTTCAACTCAAACCGTTTGAGGAAACCGATTGCCTTAAATCATTCAAGTTTATTAACTCAAACAATTTAAGCTTAAAAAAAGATTTGATTTGTGTTCAAGTAACTCAATAACTTATTGTTAAGATAACTTGGGTAAATAAAGTTAATAGTACTAATTCCATTCAGTTAATATACTTAAATCTATGAAGTACGCTGTAAACCCAAATAAGCTGGCAGAACTCAAAATACTTTTATTAGTATGAACTTAGTTAGCTTTAAAAAGCTAATCTGCTAACATAGTAAATGCTAACATATTAGCAATAGTATGTTATACAGAATCACTTGCTGTATGAGCACAGCAATATAAATGGAATATTTGCTCTCAAATCAAACTGCATGCACCACTTGTCACCATGATGGTAACTATCCTAAAGCCAACATTAACAGAAATTCTTCTAAATTAGCATAACAAAACATGAATCACTACTAAATCTCACACATAACATTAATCTTACACACACAAAAAACATTATATTACACTTAATTTTAGCATTTACTCTCCCTTTCGAGTGCCATCGGCAAAGCATGCTGGGAAATAGACATCCCAGCTGTTTCAATTAAACTTAAGTTCGTCTAAATTAAAATAAATAATTTCATAAAACTCAAAACAATGAAACAGTTCAGTTTACTTAAAATATATCAGTTCAGTGAACTTGAAAGAAAAAGAAAGTGCTGAATACTCATAAAAGTTAATTTGACTGAACTGATTTGTTTAATTTAAGTTTGTCCTACTCAAACCAATTAATTATTTTGAGCATTAGGGAATACAATATGAGTGGTGCCTGTGCAAAACTCGATGGCATGATTCTGGGTGGTTGCAAGGATGTTCAAAGTGGGTTTTAAAGGAATAGTTGAACTAAAATATTTTACTTTTCTATGAAACAGAAGATGTTTGAAGAATATTTGAGCTATTTTTGTGCATACAATGCAAGACAGTTATTGGTGCTTGTGTCAAGTCACATAATGGTAGGCGACATCTAAAAGCTTTACTCATAGTTGCACATTAAACAGGGATAGGAGAAATTATTTTAGCATCAGATCAAACTGTTACGTTTTTTTCTCTTTAATGGAAGATAATTGTTCTTATAAGAAGTACTGGGAAGTATTATATCTTTTTCCCACATCCTTGAAAAGTTCTTCTGAAATATGATGTTGCACATGCTTTCCATCAATTACAACATCTTAGAGATGCATTCACATGTAGGCCATAACCTGTTTCTATAACCATCTCCATCTTTAAAAACTTACTTTGGGTGCAAATCATCTGCCAGAATAGAGAATTGCAAGCCAAGCCAAATACAATGAAATGATCATACTTCACAAACTCTGAACATGTGGACCAGAGACAGTGACTTTTTTATTGGTCTAGCGATGCTCTCCAATATTGTATGTATTCACAATTTCTCATCATTTAACAATTTATCAGAAGAACCACAGAGACACATAAAGGCCATTGAGGTTATACATGATAAATATGTATGTATAAAATCATGGTAACACTTTACTTAAAGCCGTTATGTATAATGTAGGGCTGTGTTGAAAAAATCGATTCACCAATTCTGAATCGATTTTCATATTAATTTCTAAAGATCGATCCGTAACTCAGAGGATCGATTTAATAATAGGCTTACATTTTCCCCGTGAACTTGCCGCGATTGGGAGATCCCTGTGCGCATTGAAAGGCTTTCACTCAGCGCGCACATTGTTACAACAACGGGCTTTGAGTGAGTCATTCGTTCATTCAACAAACACGTTCAAAAAAGCTGATTCATTAAAAGAGATGTAATGAAACAAGGTGTTAATTATTTTTAACTTTGAGTTCCACTTTTCAAGGCTCAGCTGAGCAGCAATGCGTCGCATGGGTAACGCCCCAGCTAACAGGGAACGTTCTCAGAACATTGGCTAACGTTTTCTGAAGGTTCTCTGAAAGTTATCAAAAAACGTTCTTGCTGTAACGTTATTATAACGTTGTGCGAACGTTATATGACATTGATAAACGTTCTAAAGACGTTAGCATTAAAACGTTATACTCACGTTGTTATTGGAATGTTTTAAAAACGTTATTATGTTAAACATATATTAGTCATTACAAATTAGTTATACAGCTTTTAGTTTTTATTCTGCAAATCAACTTCAGAAACATAATTTGTAAATCCAGTGACACAATGCTCTAAAAAACAGTTATTCATAAATATTTGTTTTTTATTGTCAGAAAAAAATACTACCAGATTATAAAGAATTATGCCTATTCAACAGGAAATAATTCAGCAAGTACAGAGAAATTATAAACGTGGTTTTACCTTAAAACATAAAATAAGATACTAAGAAAAGAAAAAAATCACAATTATGTATTATATTTTTCAATTAATTGTACTCTATTTAAAAAGTAGATAAGGCAATTGGAAAAATTAAAAATAAATTTAGGGATTTAAAAACATACAAAAAAGTGTTTTAATAACGTTTGCAATTACAGTAAAGGAAAAAACACGGAATGTGTTTAATCTGACGATTCCTCACATACGTTTAGCGTGATAGCGATGGGCGTGGTTTTGGAGCGCCCATCAATCAAACACAGCAGGACGAGGACGACGACAGACGGACAACTCGGAGACGGAAGATTTTAGGTAAGTTGAGTGAATTTTGCTGGTTGTATGAATAAAATACCTTTATCACAATGCTAATTTACTTAGTTTTGCAGCATTTGCTAATGTTTTAATGAAGTTAACTAGATCAACCGTGTTATCTCTATTGAGTAACGAGTTAACGGCTAAAGTTAGCTCAGCTTAGCTAAAAGTGGCATTTCCCCCCCAGTTTTCTGTTCCATGTGTCGCAAGTTCGTAATATTGAAATCTGTTAGTAATTTTTATTGTGTCAATTGGCCACAGTCTTTGCAATTTTTACATTATGAAACAAACTCCTTTGTGACATTTTAGAAAGATAACGTACCATTACCCCTATGCAGGCTCCTCTTAAATTTTATTTGGATCGAGCACTTGACAAGTTTATTGACCCTTTTCACAGACTGTAATGACGCGTTTTAACAATCATCAGTATCGTAAATTCTGCTTATTTTAAATATACAGTGTATGTATAAGGCCATATTTTCAATTCCTACAGGCAGCTATTTTTGGCACCAAATATTTGAATTGGGAAATACTGAAATCTCAAAAATTGCTTAACAAACTTAGTTAAATAATATGAAATCAGCAATGATCTATCGCACTGTTTACGTGTCTTGCTCAAATTGCATATCAATTTGTATTTTTGGCTTGGTGCCGTTTTAGGCGCGGGTTTCTATGGTAACCGGCTCCTCTGACGTTGCAGAGCCGTTGAAAGAAACAACCTTTGATCACGTGGTTGTAGTTCGAATAGTTTGAAACAACTTTGCACTCAATCTTTTACATGGGTTTAAAGGGATACTCCACTTTTTTTGGAAATAGGCTCATTTTACAACTCCCCCAGAGTTAAACTGTTGAGTTTTACCGTTTTTGAATCCATTCAGCCGATCTCCGGTTCTGGCGGTACCACTTTTAGCATAGCTTAGCATAGATCATTGAAGTGGACAAGACCATTAGCATCTCTCTCAAAAAAATGACCAAAGAGTTTCAATATTTTTCCTATTTAAAACTTGACTCTTCTGTAGTTACATCGTGCACTAAGACCGACGGAAAATGTAAAGTTGCGATTTTCTAGGCTGATATGGCTAGGAACTATACTCTCATTCCTGCGTAGTAATCAAGAACCGTACCATGAGTGCAGCAGGCGCAATGATATTATGCAGCACAAACACAAACTTATATGGTCACGCAGGAAGTAACCTAGCTGGGGACTATTTTCAGGCACTGCGTCATATCATTACGCCTGCTGCAGACATGGTACGGCAGCAAAGTTTCTTGATTATTACGCAGGAATGAGAGTATAGTTCCTAGCCATATCAGCCTAGAAAATTGCAACTTTACATTTTCCGTCGGTCTTAGTGCACGATGTAACTACAGAAGAGTCAAGTTTTAAATAGGAAAAATATTGAAACTCTTTGGTCATTTTTTTGAGACAGATGCTAATGGTCTTGTCCACTTCAATGATCTATGCTAAGCTATGCTAAAAGTGGTACCGCCAGAACCGGAGATCGGCTGAATGGATTCAAAAACGGTAAAACTCAACAGTTTAACTCTGGGGGAGTTGTAAAATGAGCCTATTTCCAAAAAAAGTGGAGTATCCCTTTAAGCGGGACAAGACAGCAGTTTCATTATATTTATTTATAGATTAATTTATAGAATTTGACAATAATTATAGATTATAGTTTCAAATTAATTTTGGAAAGTGGAATTTGATGTTCTGTGCTTATGTTGTTCCAAAACCTTAAGACTTTCATTCATCTTCAGAACACACACATGAAGATCTTTTAATGAAATCTGAGATTTCTGAAATATCTTAATTTGTGAGCAAGTACAGCATCACAGTGCTTTTATACTAATCTCACCACACTTTAATACAACACTGTCTTCTTTTCTCCCTGCAGTATCTCCAGAGACTCTCTCAGGATTCAGTCCAGTCCGATGAGCCGGAAGCTGAAGTGGATGATATATTTTTTTTTCTCTCCAAATTGTCATGTTATTGTTTTAGCTTTGTTTCATGTTCATTATTTTGAAGTTTAATCTGTTTGTCATGTGCTCCCTTGCTCCCCTTGTCCCCAGATCGAGCTTTTTCTGTGGTCTGGCCTCGGTTGTGGAACAATTTGCTGTTAGAAATTAGGATAGCCCCTT